TCTGTGGCGCATTATACATATGATTTCCAAATATAAAATCTTAAAGACAGCGTGTCTTGGTGGGGCCCGGTATAAAAATTTGTTTGGTGAAGGTGCTCACAAGAGATTTTTTTTGCATAAACTAATAAATTGTGTTTAAACTGGAAAACTTTAAACCTCTGCCCAAATTTTAACGGACTATGATTACTTTGGATTTCCCGATGTTTCTACAAACCTTTGAAGGCATGCTTTAGGCGGGAATAAATAGTTTAATTTGACTTTTGTGTTAACTGAAGTAAAATAAAAAAGTTTTTTGTTGATTTCTGCTTACGCACGAGGCCTATAATTGATACGACAGATTTAGCACTAGCTACGCCCTCGATTCGGTCCAAATGTAACAGCGACATAGTTTACTCTTTCTTTTTTGCACTTGTGGAATGGTTCCAAATTAAAGTGAGTCTAACAAGATAAGCTTTTCAAACGAATTTCTTGAGGTTCCCAACACGCTGAATCGGCTCGAACAGCAAACCGATATTGGAAAAGGCAAAATAATTAAAAAAGTTTTTAGTCTGCGTAAAACTTTGCGTCGGCGTAGAAAACTCCCAAGTTATCATTTGGTGGTAGACTCACCTTCACACAAACTTGAAATTGCATTCTTGGTTACTTACTTCTAAACGTATTAAAACAGCTATATTCTAATTTCTACTTAAGATGTGCGGCAGGCGAAGCGTATTGAAAAATTCAAAGCCAAGTTTCTAACGCCCGGAGAGAATTTTAATAAAATATTACAACTTTTACCATTGAAACTTACGTAACGTAGCAAATAGCACGTTTTATTTATTTTGCAGTAACTTTTGATGGGCCTAATTAAATATAATATGGTTGTTACATAATGGGAGGAAGTTTATATATTTACCGACTCGTAAATGTAATGTAAACGTTAATCCTGGATGTGTGTGTATTTGTTGTATTTGTATAGGGGTGTCGCTTACAGTTGGGATGGACCACGACATGTGTCTGTTAGTTTGATGTGGGGACAAACTGGGAAAGTATACTAATCTTCGAGGGTTGGCCGTGATTCTTGTTTAGTTGTACAAGAACTTCGAAGGAGGTCAAGGGGTCAATTATATCAATAGGGTAGTTGCCAGGGTATGAAAATTAAAAATCTAATTAGTCTGTTAGTTAGATAATGAAAAATATTAGACACGTTTTTTTTTACTTTCGCATATAAAGTTAAAATTCTTAGATAAAATGGAGTAAAGTTTAGGAGCGGGAGGTCGTTACAAAATGTAATGCTACAAAATGTAGCATTTTGTGACGTCACACGGTATTTCAGATTAATATATCGTCGAAAGTATTTAATTTTGTGAGAACAGACAAACATTAAAATAAAATTTAGGAAACTACCCTATAATATTATTTAAACAAACCAATTGTAACCGACTTTGTTCAATATGGACGCATTGAATTTAAACGCGGCCATATTTTACTGAGTACCCCAGCTTGTTAGCACAGCGCGGTATATCCGACACTCGATTTCCTGGAAAAAAGCTTTTGTTTAGTTTTTTGCTTTTAACTGAAGCAAAACACTTATTGAGGAATTCGCTTGAGTGATTTTTTATTAAAACTTGTACATGTTTAATGAGTTTTAAGGAAGGCATAAATAAGCAAGAAAACGATGTTGAGGTACTTTAAAATACATATTAGATTTTGTTAATGTTTCTCTTTGGACTTTTCTGTAGGAGTTTCCGTATATTTTTAAAATATCGTCACTTTGACTGCCTCAGTGGCCAAGTGGTCGCAAATGCGTCCGCTGGAAAAAGTATTATTGGGTTTTAAAAAATCTCAGTACTAACACGGGGTTTGGAATTGTGCTCGGTATATGGCAATAGGCTCCACCCCTATTACATGGGGCTTGTACCATAAATAGTGAAAAGTGGGTGTTACAATGTACAATGGCATTAAGTGCTGTAATGTGCACCTCTGTCTAACCCGGGGATAAGAGGCGTTATGGTATGTTATGTTATTTTCACTTTGGTATATCTTACTAGCCGACCCGGCAAACATCGTACCGCCTTAAAAACAGCTTCTCTCATTTTCTAAACCTTCCCTAGACTTCAACGAACATTTCAATACCGTAATTAGGTAAATCAGTGCAGCCGTTCTCGAGTTTTAGCGAGACTAACGAATAGAAATTCATTTTTATTTTTATAGATAGATTTGCAGAGTGATTGGCAATAACATCGAGTTATCCATCAATTAGGTATAGGCACTGACATAAACTCAGTCAGACATTGTGGAACACTTTCTTAATATCATACTACGACTTGATTAAATTATTCTTTTGCATGTGTCAAAACGTCTGAACTCACTTGTTTCAGTAACAACATTTAGTACTTATTTAATCACATCTTTTTCATATCTACAGAAGTTATGAATCTAATTTATAAGTTGTTTAAGTATGTTATTGTTATACTAGCTTTTTGCTTGCGGCTTCAGTCATGTGAAATTTAGGAACCTTTAATTTTTTTTTAAACTTTGCTCCAAGAATTTTCTCCTGTGTCGTGGGTGTACAAACTTACGTGGGTGTTCATAGACATAATGATACCCAGAGCCGAAACAACAATTTGTGGATCACACAAAGTGTTGTTCCGTGCGGGAATCGAACCCGCGACACGTTTCACGGCAGCCCGTTGCCCAGCCACCGCACCTACCGTGCAGTCTTATTTCGAATTCTCGAATCGAAAAATAATCGAAATAAAAATTAAAATCGAATAAGACCTAGGTCTGACCAAATGACATTTAGCGCTTGTCTAGAAAGAGAGAAAAGTAAATTGGGTACTTTCCTTAATCAAAAATCATTTCGACTGTTCAATACAACAAATTAAAAAAAAAAATCACACTTTCAATAATTGATTTTATAACCAACTTAATTTTAGTATTTTTTCAGCAATTTTTTAAGAAATTAGTATGCTGTTTGACGGTAAAAAACGTGACGTCAGAATACACAATATCATACAAAATTCATAGAAAACTGTCGTTTTTGACAGTTCGAAAAAAGTATGACTATTGAATTTGACTAGTTGGCAATGGCATCTCGGTATCTACCACATACATTTAGTTTTCTACTCTATCAGTAGAAAGTAGAAAGCGCTAGGGCATTTCGCAAGAGGTTCTAATCGTGTAGTGGTGATACAGGGACCAAAAGTAACGTATGTTACTCTCTGAAAGTCGCTGGTAATAAAATAATTGACTAAATCAGTCCAGAAGTTCTATAGCTTATTATTTTGAACAAATAACCAATTAGATAAAGCTCTTTTATTTATTATATTATTAGCTACTTGCACGCAGTTTCACCCGCTCTGCTCTGCTCAAATTGATCGTAGCGAGATGTTTTATAGCCTATAGCCTTCCTCGATAAATGGACTATCCAACACAAAAAGAATTACTCAATTCGAATCAGTAGTTTCGAAGATAAGCGCGTTCAAACAAACAAACAAACAAACAAACACTTCAGCTTTATAATATTAGTATAGATTAGATAGAAAAAAACTCGCTCATATATGAAGTACGTGTCTCCTAACTTAGCGAGTGAGTAGTTTCATGGGAGCTCGGTTCCCTCAGCGTTCCATCGGCTTAAGCTTGCACGCACGGCTTCAAATCAAGCTATACAAAACCATTTTATCATGACCTCACGTTGTGCCATCTATCTGCTATTCAACGGTCAGTTTATACTGGATTTGTCTAGTTTGATCAGTCGCGGTCTGTACGAGAAAACCCAATTTGAGATAGCGAAAGGGTGTAAAAGTTATAAAAGCCTTTATGCGTAGATCGTACTTATGATACGATTCCAAATCAAATGTGTGTCGAAATCGTAAGGGGATCGTGTTCATCAGGTTTTGTTTGTTTTGTTGATACAATAATTTTGGTATTTATTCTTTGAAGGAAAATGGACTTTATGTTTTTATCATTGTGTTTGTTTTGACTTTTTGCTTGTAAAGACTCTGGAACCTAATAGTAATTGTAATACTAAATCATGCCACAGAAAAGTTCTTTCCTTCCATGTAACGTTTTTCTTATTTTTTTTAATAGAGTTGAAATATAATGTTTTTGAGTGACCTATAGTTTTTCTAGTGTGGCAGCTCGACGGCCTCACGATAAACCGTTGTGAAGCAACGCTTGCATTATGTTTCGTCGTGTGAGTGAGGTTACCGGAGGCCCAATTACCCCTCCCAATTACCCCTCCCCTTTCCCAATCTCCCCAATCCCTGAATCCCCAACAATCCTCAAACTCCTAATCCCCAAAAGGCTGGTAACGCACTTGTAACGCCTCTAGTGTTCCAGATGTCCATGGGCCACGCCGATTGCTTACCATCAGGTGATCCGTCTGCTCGATTACCGGCTTATGCCATAAAAAATTTAAATCCCCAATTATCTGGTAATAAGCATGACCACGATGCGACTGTTGTGTTAAAGTAAATTCTGAGTTTACACGAAAAATAAGTTCGTTCCATTATCCGACTGCACTCAACTATTTAAAAAACAAAATAACAAAAATGTGGCAGCCTCTGTGTTTGCCTTTAATTTTCCTAATGCACTGTAATGCACTACTTTTAATACTATAATGGCTTATTTTTGTAGACTTTTCTAAAAAGAGTCACTTAATTTGCTTATGAGTCTGTATTTGGTCTAAAACACTCCAAGGATTGAAGATTCAAAAGACAGATTATGATAGCTGTTTATTTACATAATGTATTAATACTTTATCAGACTACTTGGTCTATTTATACAGATTTGGTAAGCGAATTATGTAGATACCCTATATAGTATAATATAACTATTTATTTTTAGTTACTGTCTCTAATCTATTCACCAATTAACACAATTGTCAAGCTGACCTAGCGTTTTAATTAAAAGAAAGAAAAAAATTGAATTATTTCTCAACTAATAATAATAAAATAACTACTTTGTAAGTAACTTCTGATAAGGTCTTACATTATTGCTGTAAGCTAGAATGGTACGGCGAGGCCAGGTCGTGCGCGTAAGCTCACCTCGCGCGGCCGTGGGCGATATCCCGCGCTCCGGGGGCGGGAGCAAGCCCGGGCTGAATCCTCTCTAGTCCCGCGCCGGCCGCCGCTCCGAACGCCGCCTCTAGCCTCCGCACTCCGCGGACCACAACTTTCCCGTACTTTTCCACGCACGCTAGTGATGTGAACCGAACGTATCGCCGTAATGCACCGTATTGTTTGTGACGCTCCCGTGTTGTGAATGAGTGACAACCTTTATGTGCCGCCTTTATTACTGTTCGGGAATTTTATTGGCGAATAAATACGTTTAGTGAGTAATAAATTACTTTTTTAACGTTGTTTTGTTTTTGAATATTGGAATTGCAATTGCTTTTTTTACTTGTTTCTCGAGTGATGATGAAAGGTTTATGTTTGAATGATAAATGTAATGAGAGTTTTTTCCTCTTATTTATTGGTTTTATTTTATTAATAATGATCATATAAAAGTCATATATTTTTCTGGGCTTTCAGCGTATTATTAAACATATTTTACACATTCAAATATAATGTTGTGCTGTAAATAAATAGGTCACATAAATTATTTATTTCTAATATTATACCTAACAACTAAAATAAAGCAAAAAAATTCAGTCTTAAAATAAATATAAACATTAAACACAGAGATTGCCAAAATTAAACATAAGAACAAATATAAATTAACAACACAGAAGATTAACAAAAACGTTTCAACACAAAGGGTGTTTAAAATCAACATTAGCTATCTAGCATCTTATACTGTAAAGTACAGAGCATCGTTCCTAAAAGGGCTGGCAGAGAAGAAAGGAGTGAGAATAATTTAACAAAAGATAATGAACCACTCTATCAACACTCAGGGAACGGCACACAGGCATTACTTAGGAGATGAATGAAATTGAAGACACCTCATGCCCACTACTCTTTGCACACACACACACTTTAACACTCCTCACATATTCCTCGCTTGGTCGAACGCGGTGATGTCGAGATCCCGTGGTAGCAAACGTGGTGCGAACGCCGTCACTCTCCGTAAACGGCAATATACCGCCTTCTCACTGAAATTTTCAACGTGTTTTCACATAAATTTTTATCGCGTACCTAGGCTAATATTAACGCACAATTAGGGGGAATGTTTAATTCACTCGTGCTTAATGTCTTTGTATATTAAGATGGCTGTTTTATACGTTATTTGTACCTATATTAAGACTGTTTTATAGGGACTTAAATATTAAGGTGTCGCGTAACATTGACGGCACGGTTGCATCGGTGGCTGGGCAACCGGCTACTGCGCAATGTGCCACGGGTTCAGTTCCCGCACGGAGCAACTCTTTGTGTGATCCACAGATTGTTGTTCCGAGTCTGGGTGTCATGTGTATGTGAATTTATATGTCTGTAAACGTTCTTTAATAAAAAAATATATTATGCTCGATACTCTTTGAAATGGCAGACAAATTTGTATGACGCCTCTTTTTCATGATATTGTACTAATGACTTAAAATTATTTTCATTCATAAGGCATTATAGAAAATTTCAATACAAACCAACACAGCGTTCTATTACTCGACGCGGGAATTGAAATAGCAACCACATGCTCATTAGTAGGATCGTCTTGTGGCAATTGTACCTACATATGTAAGAGAGAGAGAGCATATACATCATATTAATCTTTGCTACGTACATTTACGAGTCATATGTCACAAATGAAATATATTTTACGGGGCTTTGAGACTTTCCCTGTATATCTGTTTTTGACAGGATGAATTTGATCAACGGAAACACGCATCAATACACATTTGAACGCCATAAATGTGCCATTATGTTCATTGGTTCGAAAGTTATTTAATTCTAATCCCATTTAGATATGAACGCTTTGTACTATAACATAACATAACATAGCATCACACCTTTTATCCCCGAAGGAGTAGGCAGAGGTGCACATTATACCACTGTACAATGTATCACTCACTTTTCACTATTTATGTTATGAGTCCCATGTAATAGGGTCCCATGTAACAGTTCCATACTCCGTGCTACTACTGAGAATATTTAAAACGCAGTAATACTTTGCCCGACCTGGGAACGGGTTTTTAAAAAAATCTCAGTAGTAGCACGGAGTCTGGAACGGTGCCCGGTATATGGCAATAGGCTCACCCCCTAGATAATTGTTCTTAATTTGAATTTAACACATCCTATACTTAATCAATATTTTGTACATTGTCGATATTGAATACGACAAAGACAAGTAGTCTATGCTCGGAATACGGCAATTTGGGCTGGGCACCCCTATCACAGAGCCTAATTGCTTAACTAGCGAAAAGCGGTCGTACTACAGCGGTACTTAGTTATGCTTCTACATATCTCGATAGGAACTAACAAGCATGACATCTAAGTACCAATAAGAAATGAGGAGATTTATTTATTTGCATAAAATGTGAATAATCTGGCAACAACGGTATATGTAAACAACTAACATAGTAATACTTTTTGTGTATTTATGTATGTATGTAGGCACGTTCACACATACATTTCACTCATCCACCTACAAAACTAGGTGAGCAAACAAATTGGACGTGTAAAACTAAATCTGGCCGTGATAAATATTTCAACAAATTGATTGTCGAGCACCCGCCGTTCTGCTTCAGTGTAAATTTGTGAAATGTCTGTATTTAAAATAAACCTAGGTTTTCACCTGCGACTCCACTCACACACGCGTGTCCATCCTGTGAATAGGGTAGATGCCTAATTTTTATTTTAATGTCCGTCTGGTAGATTGTTTTAAATCATTTCAAACTTTTCAGCAAACAAACAACCAACTTTAATCTTTATGATAATAGATAGGATCTATACGCAACGTTTCAACGTCTTAACAATATTCGATTTGATAATATTATTTTCGCAGACTTTGTATTATAATAATATAAATTGTATGTTTCAGCACCTTTTGCCAAATATTTGTCTATTTTGTCCATATTGTTTGGATGAAAAGTACCCCATGTTTTAATACAGGTCAAGGTTCTTATCTATCGGGTATCTGCTTGTGGAATTTCAACATTTATCGTGGAATGTTTACTATTCTTTTTTTTGCAAATGTAGCTATCGAAAAAAGAATTCTCTGGTTTTATAATTATGTGGGTCATGCGAATAGATTTTTTTAAGGGGGTAAAGTCATCGAATGACTACTCCCGCCTGGATGAGGCAGGAGGAAGTGTCAGACTCTTACTGACTAAAAAGCACCCCGTTCCTACTCCTGCACTTCAAGCCAGAGCCCCTGTAACTCGATAAGTTCTCTGCGGTTCCGAATCGGCATCAGCCCTATTGGGCCCCATCCGTGGTGGTCTGATGGCTCTTTGAGGCGTACGCGGAACGCGACGCGCCGTACGCTCGGGTCTGGTTCTGGTCGGGCGGTGAGTCACCTATGCTCGCCGTCCGCAGGCCCGCATACGAATAGATTAGCTTCTGATTTTACGGAACTTAAGTTTATAGACTTCTTAACTGACTTCAAGAAGATTAAGAAGAAGGTTTTCAGTTTGACCTGTATGTATGTATGTTTGTGCGCGATTACCTCGCGATTGGCTGGACCGATTTTGATGCGGTTTTCAGAAAATGATCAGTATTTGTTACACTTAGGAGAATGTTTAAGTAAATGTATTAACCGACTTCAAAGAGAGAGTATTAAAGTACTTTTTTTAAATTTAATAATTCAATTCTTAAATAAATAATTCTTTATAAAAGAATTAAAAGTTTATCTTTTCTCGTCTTTTGTGAGTAATTAAATGATTGCTAAAACGTGAAAGTTCTGTAGGTAGTTAAAGTTATATCAACTCTTAACTATGTACCAAACAAAATGTTACATATCATCATGTAACATTTTTGTGTACTGGACATCTGTCGGCAGTAACAAACTTTTTATGTCTATAATAAACTTACAAAACTTACTTTGACCATTCTATACACATCCAGTTACAGTACATGTAGATATCTATAAGATAAGTATAAAAAGTTTTTTACAGCGGTAGCCTAAATTATCGCTTTCAAATGTTCTACGAAATAGGTTAAAAATGTCTCATAAAAACATAGAAGTGTGGGAGAGCTTTTCTGCGGCACGAATGGGCCGGCTTGACCGAAGCGATACCACGGCCTCACAGAAAACCGACGTGAAACAACGCTTGCGTTATGTTTCGTCGTGTGAGTCAGGTTACCGGACACCCAATCCAATTACTTTCCTTCCTCAGTGTTCCCAATCCCCGAATCCCACACAATTCTCAAATTCCAAACTATCAAAATGCCAGTAACGCCTCTGGTGTTTCAGGTGTCCATGGGCGTCAAGTGATCCGTCTGCTCGTTTACCAGCTTATCTCATAAATAAAAATTAAAAATAAAAATTAAAAACTTAATTTATAATATTCTGAACAGAGAAGTGACTTTAAAACATTCCCTACAATTTCTGCAATGAAATTCAAGATGAAATGCGATTTAAATTAAGTGCCAACAAAAAAGTAAAACATGATTCTGTTGCGGTGAAATTAGAGCTCCACCACAAGATGGCAGCTCTACAAACGTCAGAAATTTTGTAATTAAATTAATTTGTACAATTGAATGAACCTCACTAATTTCTTTGAATTGTGAAATCTGACAAAGGCCGCATCGTAATACTATTACACTTAGTTACCGGGAAATCCGTTTATTCTGTTATTTTATTATGACTGAAATAATAATGGCACAATTCCTCTTTAGTCGCATAATATGTCTTTTGGTCCGCTTTTGGTCCATTCATATGCATGCCATCATAATAGGAGTTGAATAGTCTCTTTTGTTTTCGTTTTGTTTGCAAGGGTATTTACGGAAATAAGAAGTAATCTTGTTTATGCGTGTATACTATAGGGCCATTTGAAGACTTTACTCGTAACAAAGAGTTTTTATTATGTGAACGAACAAAAACCATAGATAAAATTAAGACATTGCGCATTACTTGCTAATTTCTGAGGGCATGATGAAACACGACTGTATATTAGATTAGATATTGTACTATGATATAATTTAATGAAAATACCTTTTAAGGGAAAAGGCTAATAATTTACAAGTTCCAATTGTTTTAATTAAAGCCCTTAATTGCTAAGTAAGCTACGGCCATCTTATTTCAAAGTATACATCAAACCGAGTTAGCCATCACCGCAGCCGTAATTACTTCACAAGTTATTCCCAAGTTATCTGTATAGGCCCTACTATTGATTGTTCAACTTCATTTATTAAAACCACGAGCCCAATATTGCAAAGCTTTTAAACAAAATTTTGCAA